TGTGTTCCTATTAAAAGAGCCAGTTTAGTGTTGTGATTAAGGCATCAGGCTAGAAACCTTGAGACTGAATTTTAGTTCTGCTTTAGGCATGAAGTGAATGACCTTGAACCAGTCAGTCTGTCACATCCTTTTGAAGTCTTCCCCAGAAAATTTGGCCAGGAAGTTTCCAGGAATCAACATTAAGTCAAAGAGACCAAAAGAGAGAGAAAATGTTCCTGTTCTACAAAATCTGTACACATAACATTTCCAGCATATGTTCTTTAAGTTCTTCATGTTTTAATCTGTATATTTATATTGAAATATAAGGTGGCTATTAGAATATTAGATGTGTTTACCACATTTTTGTATTAAGATCGCAGGTAATAAAAATACAGAGTTTTCTTTGTTTTCAGCATCATATCAAATATCAACATCTGCTGAAAAAGAAATATGTATGCCCTCATCCCTCTTGTGGGAGACTTTTCCGGCTCCAGAAACAACTGTTGCGGCATGCCAAACATCACACAGGTAATACGGATTGCAAAGAAAATCCCCACACTGTCTCCTTAAGGAGGAAAGTAAATTTCTTATTAAATAGCCAAGTCTTTAGATATAAAATGCAAAGCTGATGCAGATTGCTTGATGACAGATACACAGATGTTGTTTTGTGGCTATATTTAAAATGAGTATGATTCATACTGAAGGATGCAGTTAGGGTGTTACTGCTTCCAGTCTTTTAATATTTCCTTTCCTCGGTTCTTTTAGCACTGATAGAGATAAGAATAAGTTACACTGATTCTGATCTTCATAATATAAGAGATATTACGCAATGAATTATTTGCAATTGATATAAATAAGGAGAATACAGCATGTTTAAAGCGCTCCATGGCATCGGACCTGGGTATCTCCGAGACCGTCTTCTGCCGCAGATTGCCTCCCATCGACCGGTACGCTCCCACAGAGCGGGCCTCCTCAGGGTGCCGTCGGCCAAACAGTGTCGGCTGGCGACCCCCAGGGGGAGGGCCTTCTCTGTGGGAGCCCCCACCCTGTGGAACGAACTCCCCCCAGAGATCCGGATTATTCCGGATCTCCCCTCCTTCCGCCGTGCCCTCAAGACATGGCTTTTCCATCAAGCGGGATTGGCCTAGGGGGGGATTTTATAGGGATTTTAAAGGGATTGTATAATTTTAAATCTAATACAGGTCATTTAATATATATTTTAATTTGGCTTTTAGATATTTATTGTATAGTACTGTTTTTATTTACCTGTAAGCCGCCCTGAGTCCCTCGGGAGAAGGGCGGGGTATAAATTAAAGTAATAATAATAATAATAATAATAGGAAATCAGATAATTGGAGTAGACTGCTTATTTGACAGAAGTCACTTTTGACAAGCTTGAGCAGTACTGTCTACCTTCCTTGTTTTTTAATCTTCCTGTTTCGAAATCAGAACTCCCTTAGGTAATATATGAATAGTTTGAAGGAATATAAGCAAAGAGGAACACATTTCCATTAAGATATGTATAGCTGCTTTTATTAAACTGGTGATCTCTTGGTGTAAGCTTCAATTTCCATAATTCCATTGGTATATGAAAAGCAATGGTCCCACTGTCATTGAACAATGAGCATTATGATCCTCTGTACCTTCATGTACTCTGAATGAATATATGCTTTTATTGGCACAGTGTGGTGGAATCACCAGCTAAAGGAGAGGGGGGAGCAAAGAGGTATGTCAGTGTGGAGTTGCCCCATGACAGGAAGTGTTATGGACCAGACTAGTGAAGTCTTATCTACTGGTTCCCAAGGGAATTCAGCCAGTCTGGCAAGACTCTTGTAATATAGATCAGTGTTTCTCAACCTTGACCATTTTAAGGCATGTGGACTTCAACTCCCAGAATTCCACAGCCAGCAATGCTGGCTGTGGAATTCTGGGAGTTGAAGTCCACATACCTTAAAATTGTCAAGGTTGAGAAACACTGATATAGATGACCTACAATAAAGACCAATAAAGGAGGAGAGTATTTGTAGCTCAGGGTTGAATTGAGAGGGGTCCCTGGTACTTCTCTGAGCTTGGTTGTTTTCTTGCAGACATTTCATTACTGAAACTGGGTAACATCATCAGTGCACTGATGCTGTTATCTAGTTTGGGTAATGAAATGTTTGCAAGAAAATAACCAAGCTCAGAGAAGTACCAGGGATGCCTCACTACAAATAAAGAAGCTGCATTGGCCTATTCAAAGAGTTCTGGTTCCTTGTGCCTAACACACAGAACGAATAATATATGTAGATCTTTCAAATATAATGAGAAAGATTTTAATTTATTTCCCTTCTTTCGAGAATGAAGAAAAAACTAGAATATATAAATCTCAGAATAAGAATGGGACTTTCCCCATAAGATTCTATTTGTATTTGAGAAAAACTTCCTCATCGCTATTAGAAAATCATATTTATCCTTTTAATGTTTTAAACTATTAACCTTAATGCTGTGATTAGGAACATAGCAGATTCCTATTGAATGGATATGGATTTGGATTAGATTCAGGTTTTGATGTAAAATACTATGTGCTGCTTTATAGATCAAAGGGATTACATTTGTGAATACTGTGCCCGTGCTTTCAAAAGTTCCCACAACCTGGCAGTTCACCGAATGATCCACACAGGGGAGAAGCCATTGCAGTGAGTAGTGTCCTTGATCTTGCCTATTTTTGTCATGAGGGATCAAACCAGCTCTATCGATAATTTCTTTTCCTTTACATTTTTCATATATTATTCTGATGAATGAATTGTCCTCTGCTCCCTCTCATTTTTCTGTAGATGTGAGATCTGCGGATTCACCTGCCGGCAGAAGGCCTCATTAAACTGGCACATGAAAAAACACGATGCAGATACCTTTTACCAGTTTTCATGCAATATATGTGGAAAGAAGTTTGAGAAAAAAGACAGCGTTGTAGCACATAAAGCCAAGAGTCACCCAGAAGTGCTTATTGCTGAAGCACTGGCAGCCAACGCAGGGGCTCTCATTACCAGCACTGACATCTTGGGTTCTGATCCAGAGTCTATTGTCCAACCCACTGATGGCCAGGGCCTTCCCCTTCTTCCAGATCCCATTGGAAACACCACTCCTGGAGAGTGCCTATTGCTGAACTCTGATGGGATGCCTAAGGCATACTGCAGTGGGGGTAACCGGGTCAACCTGATGGCTGATGGAAAAATATTTGTTGGCAGTGCTAGTGGTGAGAATACAGAAGGGCTGGTCATCAGTACAGAGATTCTTGGAGCTACCACTGAAGTCCTAATTGAGGATTCTGATTCTACAGGACCTTAGTGGGAGAGGAGCACATGTGTATCGGGACAACTTGAACTTGTATTTAAAAGAATAAATGGGGAGAAGCAACTTATTCAACATAGAGAAACTAAACATAAATAAATTGCTAGTCAGATAACTAAAGGACCTGCCCCCTCCCCCTTCTGCCCCAGCTCACCCCTTTCTTGCAGAGTGGATCACTACACTACATTTTTTTTCACTTGTTTCCTTCTTGGAGAGGAATGTTGCCTTTACACAGAGATTGATAAAGCAAAAGAATCCTTGCAATGCATGGGAGGGAAGCAGCTAGAGCCTATCCCTCTCCCAGCTCTTCCAAAGTAAGCAAACTTCCTGCTTCTTGACCATATTGCAAGATTGAAAATGCTGACACTCTGGACCAATATTTCATTCTTGAAACTGTATTCTGTTCCTCCAGTTGTATCAACCTGTTCTATGCATTACTAAATTCTGACCCTTGCAAGCTCTTACTTTTCATTTTAGGGCTTGGGATATAGCTTGGCACTTTAGAACCCCCTCCTTAGGATGAGCTGTAAAACAGCGTATTTTCCCCCATGTTTTGTATCTTCCCATCCGTAAGAAAAGAGAAGGGATCTTGAAATGTTGGTGCTTGCTTTCTGAAAGAGGAGCGCCATCTTTCTATATAATTGCTCTGGTGCAAAATACCTACGGGAGAATCAGAATGGGTGCTAGGCTTATAAAAGAAAACTTGCACTTTGTACATGTCTTTTTTTTTGTGATGAATTCCTTATTTATTTGCCTTCTTAAAAGGGGCCTATTTTAGTTGCTGTCTAGAGAATGTTTTTGTTTCAAAACTGAACATCCTACGCAAGGGATATAAAACAGAATGGGCTTCTTCAGCAAACCATGTTTAGGAATTCTTATTCAGTCTGAGTGAAGGAAATACTTGTGGAGCAGGATAGGTCTTTAGCACCCTCTCTAGTGAACTGTGAGGCTCCTGTTTGCTTCAGCATTTATTGTTTAAGGATGTAATGGCTGTTCAAGAAAATGGTGTCATATATTCCCTCACTAACTTCCTTGCTATTTGCTCACTTACACTGTGGTGCTTTTCTTTTCTCTCTGACGTTGATGGGCTAATGCCATTAACAGGAAGCTTTGTCTTGAAGAAGTTATATTAACTGTTTTAAAGAGCCTTGGCTGCTAACATGCTCTGCCTCGTGAGACTTTGATATAATTCTTCAAACTTCCTTTAGGGACATTATTTGATTTAGAGTGGTAACAGCACCAGCTTTACTCTGCATTATATCCACTATTCCCAAATATATGCAATTGTTTCTGTGGAATTTGACTTATCACCAGACAGGTCTAGATTTGGAGGGGAATAGTGTTAAAAATATATAGAAATACCTTAAAGATATATTTAGCACATGATTTACATAAACTCTTCTCTTACCTGAGAGCTTATGATGGTACAATATCCTGGTAGTACTTCTCTGTTAATGATCTGACATGTTCATATGATCAAGAAGTAAAATGAATTTGCAATTTAGACTTTATTCTGGAGCTGTATCCTGTATAGTTCTAAACCCTGCTATGTAGTGCTAGCTGGCGTTAATTACAATTATTCCCAGCAGATCTTTTTACAGTGCTAATTATTTGGAAGGAAGACTTATAATTTGTTACATTGAAGCCAAGAATCAACTGGGTCTAAAGTGAAGCAGTTACTGCAGTCCAGTACATACTTTCTGTGACTCCTGCCCGGATGCTTGGCAGCCATTCAGATATATAACGTGTAGGTGTCATTGCATGCAGCTCAGGACTGCATGTTCCGCAAGACTGCTACTGCTACAAATTGTGTGATTAAAATTGATGCGAGAAAAGTATTAGGAGCCAAAAACATGTACATACTACTGAGGAAACTGACTTCTGTCTTGATTACAGTATGCAGTATTTTGCTAGCGTAATGAACAAATTACAATATGAACCCTGTTTTGCAAATTACTTGAAGTATTTATTCTGTTTGGCTATCAATCTCTTGTCTGTTTCTAGCCCCCCCCCCCTTCATTGGATGCAAGTGTGGTTTTATTAAAATAACAATCTTATATTTAGCCAGGATAGCCATCTGCACTCTAGGTGAAAACGTCTAATTTAGATTTGTGATGACTGTTTATCAACCAATAATAATTCCTTTAAAGTTGTTCCCATCATAAGCATGCAGTTTCAATTACAGCTGCAGCAAATTATTTGTATTTTCTTCTAGTAAATCCCCCCCCCTCTTTTTTTTTCCTTCGCGGGAAGAAGCATGCTGCTGGGAATTGAACTTGTATAATTTTCCCTCTACCAGATGGATAGTTTACAGTAACTCATTTAACATTGTTCCACTCCATATACAGTTCCGTAGTCTAGTAATATCTATTAGCTCACTCTGGTTCTCTAAGAGTTGGACTCCTTCCTGTTAATATTAAAGGATAGTTCAGATCACTTTTTGTCAGAGGTTGACAAAAAAGAGCTTTTTTTGTCATGTGAATAAGAATTCTCTTTTTAGCCCTTTATTTTAGTACAACCAACATAACTGGTGAGAACACGAGGCTTAGATGGTCTTCAAGGACTAGTCTTCTATTGTGTGAAAAGTACTCCATCTACTTCAAATAGTTTCTGAAAAATGGCACAATGCTGAAGTCTTTGCAGCTGGAAAGAATTGTCAGATCTCTGGTAATATGGTAGTGAAGACCAGGGAGAACTGCACTAGCATTGTGAATCCTACCAGAGAAAGGACAGGATTTGCAATTTTTAGCAGAACTACCTGAAGTAGTAGCCACTGAGTGGCAACAGACCTGTGTTGCATTGTGGCACACCCTATTTTTTAGAGTTAAATAACAGATGGTTGAGTGAACAAGTCTTTGATTCCTTAAAAGCCTTGTTGTGTAAAAAATTTCCAGAAAGCGATAGTGGAAGTTTAGATGGGTGCCAGGATGGAGGGGCAGTGATCCATGTTCATAAAAGGTTTGTGTACACAGAAGTAAATAAAACAATTAAAAGGGATGCTTTGTTTTTTCATGTCATGTCTTTAAATTCAGGAAGCCATAACCAAAATAAATACTTAAAGGGAAAAGCAGTCTGTGTCATGTTACATGCCAGCTACATGGGAAATGTTCACAAATGAAGTAGCTTCCCACGCACTGCTGTAGTGCAGGTCTTTCTGCAATGCCCTGCTGCAGAAGATTGCCTATGAAAGAACCAACAATAGGCTGACCCTATTTAAATGGTTAGTTAATTTGCTTAAGGCCTGCGAAAACATCTGTTAATATATTATGAAACTATCCCCAAAAGCGTGCATTACTTTTGGAAGTATCCTGAAAAGTGGCTGTGTTTGTAGGGTTAAAGCGCTACTTCATTCTTCTAACAAAAGATATATTCTCTCCCATCATGATAAATTTAATATTTCTATATCGATCTTCAAAATCTTTGGAAATGTTTTGCTTCCGATACAGAGTTATAGAAAAATTGGATTACAGAATTAATGTTTATGATTCAGTATGCTATTTTAAAGATCAAGCTTGAAGAGAGATAATCATGGCTGAATAATTGTTATGGAGCTATTAAGAAAAAATGGGATGTTCCCTGCCCCACAAACAAAATTTATGCATGCCCTGTAAACTCAGTTCAGAAGAAAGTGCCATTTTCTTCTGAGGTTCCTGAATATTCTGGATAATAATTTTTCTTCCCTTTTTACCTAGTGTGGGAGATTATGTACATCAGCTCCAGAGATGACATTTCTAAGAAATGGAATGTATTTGATCATGCATTGACTGTCAGTGACATTCTGTAACATTTGAATTTGGACTGTCTGTCCAAATGTGTAGTAAATCAATTTAATTCTGCAATGTCCTTCAAGGAGCTATATAGAACATAAGGTTCATTAAAAAGGCAACATACCATTTCTAATATCTATTAGAAAGAGAAACCAAACATCTTCCCAACCTAAATTCTTTTAAAGTATTTTGGAGGATTGTATAGGATTCTGCCACCCTGAGTCTCTTCTTGAGATGAGTAATTATCAAATTGATTAAGTACATTTCAATATAGTAGAATGTTAAAGGAAATTGGAGCAATCTGCTTCATTATGTTTCTGTTAAGATGCTACAGTAGCATACTAAATGACTAAAAGACTGCTAGCACATAATGGCTTATTTCAAAGTATGTCAAACATGGTAGGGGCATTAGTGTTTTGGTTTTTTTTTTAGAAAAACAACTGTACCATATAGGAATGTGACAAATTAGAGAGGAGCGGTCTAAAAAGAAATGTTTGGTGAAAACCAGTGAGTTCAAGCCAGATTCTTGAAGTCTGCTATATTAGACAATAACTTTGGTGGGTAGGATTTTTTTCATACTGATGGAGTTATTATACATTTAGTTCTTGCAACAATTGACAAGAACATGACACAGAAACCAACCTAGAATAGGGAAACTTCAATGCCATCTTAAAACATAGATTAGCATTTTAGAAAACAGCAGAATAATATAGCTTGTTTTGCTAATTTGAAATTAATTATGAAGCAATTATGAGCCTGAAAGCCAGCTGGGTGACTTTGACCAGTCATACTCTCTCGGCCCAACCCAACTCCAGGTGGTTGTTGGGGGAAAACAGGAAGAGGAAGGAATATTTTGTTTGTTTACCACCTTGAATTACTTATAAAATAAGGCAGGATAAAAATCAAATTTTCACTCACAAATCTAGTACGGTATAATGGGAGCTCTGATAGTTTCCCTTGAAAAGTTCATTACTTCATAGATGCTGGCTGGGGAGTTGTTCCTTTGGGAATTAAGGTTTGAATTGTGCAGAATATAAACAGTCTTTTGATAGATCATTACAAGGTTTAAATTTCAGTATCAGGTTGTTTGATTTGTTTCAGATTACTAAAACAAGAAAACTTACAGCCATTGGGCCTTGATTATCTTCTACTTTGGATTCTACTAAAATATCCAGTTAACTTGTTGAGCTATGAAAATAAGTGCCAGAGAACTCTACCAAGCTGACTGAAAAACAATGACATAATACAATCATGCATAACAATAGTTCGATGGCAATTTTCTGCTACAAAACTATTTTGATTTGAGGACATTTTGCAGTTAATATTTTTATGTTTCATCTTTTATATCTCATTTTCCTACAATGTTAATTTTATTTAAATTGTTTAGTAGCTTACCCTATATTCTTGTCTGGCAGCTAATCTTTTACAACAATTATGAAAGCAGCAACAATCACATCAAACAAATTACAGCATTTTTTAAAAAATCTTAAAAATAGGGGAAGTTAATCTGAATTACACAATTAGGGATTAGCACTGTCCATAGTACTAACCAATTTAAAAGTTGTTATAGGAAGTCAGTCAAAACTGTTGAGCAATTCTTATTGCTATATGGAACTTTCCTCAGATCAGCTTAATTTAAATAAGAGTTTGAAATTTATTAATGAAATCTCAAATTCTGCAATCAAAGAAACCTGTGTAGAATAAAATATATTCATAGTGACTAATCCCTTCATGTTTCATTCTGCCACAATTTGCACACATTTTTTTAATTGTGGTTAAATCATAGGGTGTGTTGTACCAAACTATCTTCATTAGCCATACAAATGTTCCAGAATATATAAGTAGTTGCTTTAAAAAAACTACTAGATGACACTGACACTTATTCTTCCATAGAAAATGTAGACTCCGGGCCATTTAGTCATATCTAGAAAACCACCACTAAAATCCTGTATCTTCTCTATTCCACAAACGTGCCTCCAGCAGTGGTCTTTCTGGAAAAAAAAGTGAACAAAAACCTGCCCTAATGTTTTTTGGTGGCCCAATTTCTGTAACTGGTGAGATGTTGATGCAAAGTGGGAATTATTTTTTATCTATGGGTGGATGCAGCTGGGGTTTTCTATGTCTTTTATGAGAGTTGGGGGTTTAGTTCCTTTCCTTGCTAGATGCCATTTAGCCTGCATTGTAGTTTTGTATCTGAAAATAGGGAAAAGATGTCACCGATTTTCAGCATTCAAGCTCAGACTTTAGGGACTGCGCGAGCAGGGCTCCTCGGGCACATCACTCACTCTACATCTAGAAGCTGCTGGAACTCAGATTGATAAATGTCATATTTCAAATAGCCTGGGAAATGTATGGCACTGTAAGTTATCAATGGCATTTGTTCTTGAAATGGCTCAATAACCAGCAAAGGGCTGGAGTTGCACAATATGCTCGCCTATAACAAAGAACAATCGCTGTGTTCCTTCCAGCAACATGTTAAGCTGAAGCAAATGACAGTGTGGTTCACCATAAAACAAACCTCATAGAATATTCTAGAGGATAATCTGTTCAGTTTAGAATAGCCATTGTGATCTATAAACCAGGGTTTGACACCGCTAGTATGCTATAATAAAGGGATCAGGTGTCCTGGTTATTCTATAACTACTGTATTAGGTGCTACATTTGGGCCGGTTATTTTCCAAGGCAGCCTCGTGTCCAAATGTGTGTGACCCAGTGGCCAAAGGGATCTCTCAGGGGACTGACATCCCACAGCTCAATGGGCTGGGTTTGGCTGTTGTTTTTATAGGTTGGCTTGGTTATGGTGGGAAGCCGAGGGGAACTTCTTTAGCGATTATGTTTTACATTGATTTTTAAATTGACCGGGCAAAGTAGAAACGTCCAAAACGAACGAAACATTTATTTTTTTCAACTCCACACCTGAGCGCCGTTGTTTCAAGTTGGTTGAGAAAGAAGAGAAAGTGCTAGCTCCCCTGTTTAATACCCACCGAACTGAATTAATTGTCTGAGCCAAGAAACAGGGAACCGGAGAGGAATGTAAGCCAAATACTGTGTATTGCAACGGCATCAATGAAGGCTGCACCTAAAACAGGCCAGATTCATATATACCGATCTTTTCCAAAAAAAAAACCCCAAGGTTGCGAATGGTTTATTGACACCAAAAGAAGCAGTTTCTTTTCACAACTGGAAAATAAACCCTGCTTAGAAGAGGCGCGAAGGTACGTCTGGGGTTCTTTTTCTGTCCTGGCCGTGTAAATGGTTAGATTTCCCTGGGTTGAATTTGCAAGGATTAGCGGGGCTATTCGCCAATCAAACCCCGAGAAAAGCCTACGGCGCGGAGAGCAGAGCGAACGAGCCAATCGCCGGGGGCCAAACAAGGGCCAGGAGGTGACCGAAACGCCCGCGTTGCTCTCCGTGGGTTAAGCTCCGCGCCTGGAATGTGCAGTTTCTCCTCAAACCGCGGGGGACGGAAGGAGAGCGAGCGAGCGCGTCAGGCGCACCCGTGAGGAATTCTCTCGCTCGGGCTGGAATGTAGGAGCTTGAGCGAGGCTTTTTCCGGGGCTCCGGGTCGCTTTCTTTCCTGGTGCGAGCGGCGGCTCAGCTCCTGCTGTCCCCTGCGGGCGATGGCTTCCTCGGAGCGGCAGCCCGGGACCCCTCCACCCCAGGAGTCGTGGCACCGCACCGTTCACCTCCTGAGGAAGATGCGCTCGGATGTCAGCAGCCTCTTCGAATGCTACGTGAGTTCCTCTGCTGCGCGCTTTCCTCTGTGTGCGCGCAAGGGAGGTTTGTCTTTTAGGGCCGGGGTGAGAAATAGGGTATAATTGGAGAGAAGAGAGCGTTGTGCTGCTGCTTCCATCACAATTTTTTTTTTAAAATCCTAATAATTTTGTTAAGGCTATCAATCAATGAGCAGTGAACACTTGTTAGAAAATTGTATAATGCCTAACCAAGAAATGCTATGATTTATACACGAGTGTGATGATACCTAAGTGAGATCTTTCATCACGCCTGGAGGAATGTGCGCCAGTGGTAAGTGCAGCTCCCAAACCAAGCTGGTGCTGCTGTATTGGGTATTTTTTGCCTTTGATCTGAAGACTGCCACTAGCTCCTCTTTACACCCACTCCCCTTAAAAAGCTATATTAGGGGATGAATGATTGGTATTATTGGTATTATTGGTATACTGAATCATATAGCTGGAATGGACAAACGCTTGTGCATACTGGCTCTTCCTGCCCGTGGGCAGAGTCATCCACCCCCAACTGGATGCTGAACTGCAGAAAACAAATCACTCAAGTCACAGAGTAAAATGCTGTATTACTAAAGAATAACTAATAAGTTAAAGAAATTTCAAATGTCTAAGAATTCATGCTTATCAAGCTGTGTGTGTGTGTGTGTGTGTGTGTGTGTGTGTGTGTGTGTGTGTACCCATGTGCACAAAAATCATAAAGTGCTTCTCCCAAAAGGAACGTTTTGCAGTTTGTTGCCTTAGGGATGGAGAACCTATTTTCTATCAGAGATCAAGGCAGAAATGAAATAAAGGTTTAATTTTATTTATTTTAAGGTAGGTCTGGCTTTGTCAGGAAAGAAATGGGGGGGGGGGTAAAATTCTGTGCTAGAAGGCCACCTTGTGGGAGACTATGTGTATAACTTGAAATGGTTTTTTTAAACCATGACCACATAATATTTATTTTAGGGAGTTTAACAGATACCCTGATGACCGTCTTGACCAAACCTATTTCACATGGGTAAGTTGGGGGATGATAACCATCATCCCAAAAATAATGGGTGGCATGGTAATGAAAAGAGATCTCCATTGTAACTCCACCTAGAGGATGGATGGGTTGATTTTAGTTACCGTAGATTTGCTACAATGATCAGGTGATGAATTTAGCAAGGTTGAATTCTTATCGATAAATATGCCAAATTGCACTCTTGAAGACACACAGGATGGGGATGAGTCCTTTCCTCACTGAGGATGGGGATCATCTGCCCATCCTCAAAGGCTCATCTCAAAAATAAATGATAAGATATCATGAAATAATCCCATCTGTATCAAAGAATTATTACAAATATCATGAAATAATTCCATCTGTATCAAAGAATGAATTATTACAAATATCATGAAATAATCCCATCTGTATCAAAGAATTAATTATTACAAATATGAAATCCCATCTTTATCAAAGAATTAATTATTACAAATATTATGGAATAATCCCATCTGTATCAAAGAATTAATTATTACAAATACTTGTTTCTTCAAGGAACAACAGTGATTTTTCTGTTTGCCTGATTTTGATATTGAGATTGCAGAAAATTAAAATTAATATTACCAAATGTACCTAGTAATGATGCCTCCACCTGACCCCATCTTCAAGAAAAATCTGTCATAGTATGTCACGGTATTAGATTCCTCAGATGCTAGACAGGATGTGAGCAACTGGTTCTGGGACATAATCAATGCTTCTTCAAGGGAAGGAATAAAGCTGCCTCATTTGAAGAAAACGGTAGGGGCCTCTTTCTTGTAGAAATTATCCCTGGACCGACCTGTGTTTGATAAAGTTCAATCAGTCTTCAACCTGCAATTTTCACCAAGAATTTGGTGCTATAGAAGACTGCTCAGGACATTGATGATTTGGAACCTCTTTAGTCAGGATTCGGGCCTAGTATAAGTTAGAAACAACATTGGTTCCTCTAGTACAGGGGTCTTCAAACTTGGCCCTTTTATGACTTGTGGACTTCAACTCCCAGAATTCCTCAGCCAGGCATGCTGGCTGAAGAATTCTGGGAGTTGAAGTCCACAAGTCATAAAAGGACCAAGTTTGAAGACCCCTGCTCTAGTAAATACCTATTTCAGGACTTAGATGGGGCTAGTACACCTTTCTTGGTCCTTTTAAAAATTTCCATAGCTTTCAATACCACCAACTTTATCCTTTTGGAACACCTAAGGCCATGATAGCGAACCTATGGCACGCGTGCCACAGGTGGCACACAGAGCCCTCTCTGTGGGCACGCGCACCGTCACCCCAGTCCTAGGCCTTCAGCTGGGTTTTATAAAACCTTTTTGCTTTAGGCCTCCGCCACCGTGTGCAAAAAAAAAAAAATTCAACCAATCAATCAATTTCAACTTCTCGGAGGGAAAAAAACATCGCGCAAAGTTGGAATTGATTGATTGAACTTTTTAGTCCCACCCAGTCTGCCGTTACCACCGCAGCCACGCCCACCCAATGGGCCACGCACCCAACAATACGTAAGTGGGTTTGGGTTGCAGTTTGGGCACTCGGTCTCTAAAAGGTTTGCCATCACTGACCTAAGACTTGGGAGTAAGGCACCATTTTACAATGGTTCTTCTGCTCTTATTTGAATGGGCAGTTCCAGTCAGTGGCCATGTGGGGAAGCACTCCAGTTCATGGAAACTTCAACAAGTGTTTTGCCCCTAGTGGTTCATAATGAGGCAGTGGAACTTCTGTATTTAATATTGCCATTTTATTAATTAGACTTAGACTTAGTTCCATCTGAGTTGTCCGGCATGTTGGGCAATAATTGCTATCTTGTGATCAGATCTCATTTAATTGCATCTATTGTTTCAGTAACTGGAAAAAAATGCATTTTAGTTTGCTAGGCCAATGCCTAACCTTCTTTTGTTCTCACAAAGATTTAGGACTGGCAGTGGTGGAGTTTGGAGTTTTATATTTATGTATTTATATTTTCACTTTATGCTGTTTATATTTTTCCAGGATTGGAACAGATTAAAAATATTATTAATAAATAATAAAAGAAACAATGTTTTCCTTCAGAATATAGCCTCAATAGGAGGCAGCGCTTAGCTGATTCAGCTAATTTTGGAAGCTAAGCTGATTCAGCTCTAATTAATCCTTGGTTGGTTAACCATATCAGAATGATAAAGCTACTGGCTGTACAGTAAAACATAATGGTTTGGTTTATGCAACATTTCAGACCAACTGCCCCAAACTTTATGGCTTAGAGCAGGGGTGTCAACCCGCAGGCCGGATGCATCATGAGGAAACTGTGCCCACCTAATTGCCGGCAATGGGGAAAAAGTTCCGATACGTCACGCGACGTCATATGACATCGTGAGTTTGACATGTCTAGCTTAGAGGATCATGAAGCCATTTTTAACTTGGAGGCCAGATATGTCTTTCACTAGTTGAGTTGAAAATATGGGGTTCATTTTCTTTGGGCTTTGGGAATTAATAGTGAGAATGAGGCCTTCATTCCCATTCATATTTTACTATTTTTCATCCATAAATCAGGTGACCTGCAATTATTGTTGTAACTCACCCAGAGTCATTTAGGTGAGATGGGCCATATAGGAATTCAATGAATGAATGAATGAATGAATGAATGAATGAATGAATAAACAAATAAATAAATAAATAAATAAATAAATAAATAAATAAATAAATAAATAAATAAATAAATAAATAATTTTGCCACCAAGTTTTAATACTGAAATCTTAGGATGTTTGGATAGTCTTCAAATGTTTAATTTTTTTCAACCATTATTTTTTAAATCTTTATATTTGTATTTCAAATTTATTTTGCTGAGGACTGATGGAAACTCAACCTGTGTTGTAAAACCTGTTGATCCAAAAGTTCCTAATAGCTTAAAAGCAGTTAATAAGTAATTTCCAAAAGTGTTTTATAAAGGAACTGTGGGAATCTAGTGTCCTTTCAAAGATCCAGCTGTGATTTCAGCTAGATGGTTATTCCCTTATCTCCTAATGCTTAAAACCCACCAGAGACTACTGTCTTGCAGTCTCCTCATGAGGATCAACTGTCTGGAACACATGTGGCTGATCTCAAATCCTCTCTTTGTCCAGAGAGGAATTATTGAAGAGTCTGTCTACTTGCTGGCTCTTCATTCCACTGCAGCTGTCAGTTCCAGTAGTGCACCATTTCTTCGCTGGATGTCCTGTCCTTTGTTTTTTCTGTTTATTTTTTTTAGTTTGTATTATTTTTTATTGTTGCAATTGTAATTTTTAATAAAATTACTATTTAAAATCATTTTCTCCTCCTACCTCACTCTTGCTGCTCCCCATTGTTTCAGGTTGAGAAGCAAGAGCTGGCCCAACCCTACAACCTTGATTTGATCGATGTTGATTTGATCGATGGAGTACCTGTAGCTGACGTTGAAGAATGGAGTGAGATTTCAGATGCTGAACGTCTGGGAAGCAACTTGCAAGCTTATTGGGCATTTCAGATTCTGTTGGATCAAATCTTAGAAGAGCAGAGAACTGATTTAACCCCAGAGGATGTAGCTTTCCATGAATCTATCCAATCAGTTTTGCTGCAAGTTTCTGCTTTAGCTTACCAACTGGAGGAACTGATGGTAAAGCTGAAGCACAATGTGCCAGCCAAAGAGGTAAAAAATACAACAAACCCTGATGAAAAAAGCTTGTTTGAAAGGAAAATAAGGGGCATGAAGGTGCTACAGGAGCTTGTCCAATGGACCGTCAGGTCAGTCCGAGACCTTCACAAAATCTCTACATCTGTTCAGGCATCATCCGCCGCACTTGAGAGTGACAGCCTGACTCAGGCCCATGAAAAATAAGGCTTCTGTTGTATTCTTAAGCTTCTTTAAAACAATGTCTCTCCCTCATTTGTGGTATTTAGACTGAAGCTGTCCAGCCAGTCTGAGCATGCAGAGAATGCTCCCATCCATATTAGTCTATATGCATCCCATTCCCGTGTGATGAAGAATTTCAAGAGTACCAGTGCTACATGGTGACTCTAGGCTTGTAGTGTTGTTGTGATACAAGGTTTATTTGCAAATATCTGCAGGCTGAGCACCAGTTGAGTATTCATAATACTAACACTCCAATGGATTCCTTTTTCCTGGGCGTTCTGCCAGGAACGGTCTGCCTCCCTCTAGTTCCAGCCTAGACTACTTCTCTGCTTCATACATACCATTCACTAATCTCCTCCCCATGATTCTTCAAGCAGGAAAGACTTCTCATCTTCCACTGCAAAATTATTATCAGTGTGTTTCTGGTGGCCTTTTTCTTTGATAAGATCTTAACCATGACTAGCAGCAGTCCCTATTTAAAAAAAAATGCAGTGGCTTTTAAGGGCCACTGCCTCAGGGCAGTGATTTTCCAACTATGGCGATGGAGATTAATGTGGTAGTCTGTTGTAACCTCCCCATGTCACTTCAGCCCAGTGGTGTACCTAGCATGTCTGATGCCCAAAGCAGATCACTTTTATCACCTCCCTGCTCTGTCACCAAGAACTACTTTGGTGTAGGCTGCTGTTATAAGCATGAAGCCAGCTGGGCCGCTCACTCACTTGTAGCCTTAGGGAGAAAACAANGGAATAGTAACCCACATCACAGCTGCAGCTTGCCTCCTTGTCATCTTTGGCAGCACTCCCCTTGTGCCTACACTGGGGCAGTGGGAGGGGGGTGGATTGCTTTCCCACCCCTTCCATAATACTGTTTCAGCCAAGCTCTTGTCTATTCTTCAATAATTGGGTGGTCAGTTGACTTTAATCACTGTGTGGATGGGTGGAAAATGTCAGGGTTTGGGTTCCCCCCCCCCCCCGACAATCCACTTGCCGGATTCAGCTCTCTACTCATCCACTGCCCAGAGTAATGAAGAAATACTTGATTCTGGATTATATTTTTTTGTACAAATCTGAATTTAGGAGGCCTTGACAGTAAAAATGCAGGGGATGGAAAATACAATTATAACCATAAATTTATTTGCCAAAAAAGGCAAGGTCCCGTGTTCTTAAGGAACAAAAGCATAAGCTTTATCTAACTGGATGGTCATCACATTTTCTCTGAATTGTTCCTTCAGATGGCCATGATTTCAGAAAGTCTGAGAAACAGTGCCCTAGAGCAGCCACAATGAGACCCGACTCAAAGGAAGCTTTTTCTCCCTCAACAGTTACAGAGTTTAAGCATCCCGCAAAACCTTAATGTGGTTCATTAGATTTTGGTTTAGCATGTTGTGCAAATAAGCCATTGTAGTTTATAAGCCATTTTCACAATGCCATATGAACCCACCAATTGTGGATTAGTCAATAAACCATGATTAAGCAAACTGATTAAATAGGAAGGAATTGGATTCAGATTAACCATCTTTTACTTTATTTACATAACTTCTTTTTTTGAAACTTCAAGGGCGGGTAAAGAACAAAAAGTAAAGTCCTTTTCTTAAGGCGGAAGAGTACAGATTAATACTATTATTGAAGCCAACATGATCAAAGTACATAGTTACATTTCTTTCTTTCTTTTTTTTTCATTTAGCTATCTTAAATGTATAACTCAATACTGCCAAGGCTGACATTCAGGAATGTTTCTTTAGGCCTCTCCTTTCCATTCGCATCAGCAATAGGCCATGATGCTCAGATGGGGCACAAAAGAAATAGGCGTATTTTTAAGGATGTTAAATCATTTCAAGTTCTAGTATTTAGTATGAAAGAATTTACCCAAGAAATCATTTCTGTAAGTTTATATGCAGATCAGTTTGAGGCAACTATAACAAAATAAATAGGATTCTATAATATTTATACCTCTACATGCTTAAATCTGAAAAACCAATGGAAGTATGTTGTGTAGGATTGAGGGCTGTTTTTCTGTTTGGGGCAGAAATCTCTATTCGGTGGACAAATATAGGCCCAGAGTATTTAGTGCATAAAATAAATGTGGAAGGGACTCCATCTTTTTCTCTCTGTCTCTCCCCAAAAGGAAGATTATGGAAATGAATGTATGCATATAGTGGAAGGTAGGAAGGATTTGTGATAATCTCTCAGGATTTTGTGCCAGAGTAATCCAAGGATTGTTTTCCAGAGTAAGAGGAAATAGAAATAAGTAACAACACTGATGCAGAGCAAAAACTGATGGACATTATTTTGTATGGTCCAAGTTAAAACATTTTTTTAAAAAATAGATTGATCTATAATATTTTTGTGGGTATGTTTTTTCATTTATAAAACAAATAAGCCAAAAGAAATCTTTAAGCAAAATTCTATGAACATAATCAGCCTTAATTTGGAGAAAGTAAGCATTTTGGTGACAAAAATTAAGACAGAAAAAGAGAGGAAGGATAGAAAGAATGTGAATAGGTGAACTGTTATAAAGGCTATGGCAGTTTCGCATTTGTATTGTACTTCCAGCTAGCCATCTATTTCATTGCCCAAATCTTCTGATTTACAGATTAAACAGGGATTGGCCTGTACTGACTGTACAGGAATGTACTGGTTATTTTAGGACACAATGGGCAGGCTTATGTCATGGCAAGTCTGCAGCACCGGCACCCAATTGATGGGCAAACAGAAAGGTTTCCTTCCTGGCATCAAGATGACTCAGCTAATCGGGCTTAATTTGCTGGCCAGCAAGAAGGGGATTGTCTGTGCGTTCAATTTTGCTTTGGGGGGGGGGGAAATCTTTCTCTGGAAAATGTATTTTTTTAAAAAAACAACAACACGTATTTAATCTCATGACAGTGGAAAGCTTTTTAGGCTCCCGTCTTTAGCCACTTTACTCATTTCTGATGTGCATCACCATATTGGGAGACTACACATTGGGAAGTAGGGCATCTGCTCCCTGCTTGGAATACCCTATACCAGTGGTTCTCAACCTTTTTAATGCCGCGACCCCAACCGGTCGTAAGTCGAGGACTAAACCGGTCGTAAGTCGAGGACTAAACCGGTTGTAAGTCAAGGACTAAACCGGTCGTAAGTCGAGGACTACCCAACCGGTCGTAAGTCGAGGACTTTCCCTGCCCGGGAGCACCGCGCATGCGTGGTTCCGCCCCCTGCGCTGGCCGAGGCATAGCTGGCAAGCGGCAGAGACGGAGCAGGCCGACCACCAGCTGGCCCAGCCCAAGGGAGGTAAGGCACCCGCCGGAAAAGGGGAAAAAATGGCGGACAAAAAAATGGCGGACAGCCTTGCTTGGCGACCCCCGTGAAATGGTCGATCGACCCCAAATGGGGTCCCGACCCACAGGTTGAGAACCACTGCCCTATACCATAATGCTCAGCAATATTGGAAATGGGAGCTCCTTCTTTGAGAAGACCTGCCAGATTACAGCAGAAGACTTCAGAATACAGAACTGTAGTAAGACTCAGGAACAACACGGAATGACTGCTGGAGGAAGGAGTCACTCTTTTATCTATGATGGTGATGGTGTCTGCCTCCCTCCCTCCCCCCACCACCAAATTTGGAAGAGCATTTAGTGTAATTCCCTTAAATTTTGTGAGTTGTTTGCTACTGTGAATAATGATTATGAAGGAAAGCCAAGTAGCATGAAAGACCACCCTCTGAAGACTTGTCCTTATTGCAAATAGTGATTTAAATTTATATTCCCTTCGTTGTCATGAAGGTGAACATCCAAAATCAGTACAATGGAATAGATTTTGTACAAAATTTAGCGCACAACGCTAAGAGTCCTCACTCCCATATTGCTGGGCATGTGGGGCAGGGGAGGAGGAGCAAATAATTCTGTTTATTTTTCTGTAAAAACTCTGGTCATCTAAGCTATGGACTCTTGGTGGGTGGAGAGCCCTGTTTCCTACTTACAATTTATATTTAATGTTCTTTCATTGGGTTGAATCCAGATTTGCTCTTCTGTTAATGAAAGGCTCTTTGGCTCAGGTTCTGCTGAAACTCCCACTTAAAAAAATAGGGAGAAAATATTATTATTATTTTTTTGCCATCTTCAGAACTGCCTCTCATGTGATTTTGAAATGATCCCACGACCTTCAGAAAAGCTTTTCAGCTAGAGAACCTAGAGAAGGGGTAGGCAACCTTGGCTCTTTTATGACTCATGGACTTCAACTCCCAGAATTCCTGAGCCAGCTGGCTCAGAGGTGGATAAAGAACTCATGACAAATGCTACCCCCTCTTCTGCCAGTAGGAATACCCACTTTCAGAATTGTGAAACTGGAAAGATCTAGATTGAATCTGTCCATTGAAGAAACACGAGAAATAATAATTTTTCCCCATAATGGCGTCTGCCTTCTCTCTCTACTATTTTTAACTTGAATGTTTATTTATCCTCTTTTAAAACAATGTGAAGTGCTTCGTTTAGCATGTTTGTTGAGCTACTGAAATATGCAAAGTATGTGAAATGTAATCATTATGAGCGATTCCTTATTTTTGTACTGTGAGCTACTTTTCTGAGGGAAGAAAATATCTAATAAATGTTAAATGTGATCTTTTTGATTAATGAAAACAATACTGACAGATTTCACCTGTAACATAAAGGTATAACTAGCTTGATTGGTTAAAATTAATATTTTATTAAAATATTGAAGAGGATGTCATTTAACCGAGTAGATTATTTTAAATTAATTTTATTATATTCAGCTCTGTCTATAATTGCCTGTGGAACAAATTCCTTCTCTCTCTTCAGCTCTTATTGCTCTATCGAAATCTCTGGTGATTCAAGAGAAGAGGAGAAGATGGAGAACTTCCTTTGCTGAAAAGGAAGTTAATTAATGTTTGGATACTGTTGAATGCATAACCTTTCATTCGGGTATTCTAAAAATTGTGGCAAGCAAATGTCACCTTAGAAGAGGCATTCCCCTTTTATATGCACTGGAAGG